TAACTTAAGGAGGATGTGATAGTTAGTTGAATCATGCTACATGTATCGAATTTTTTTATCGAATCTTTTACATACTACTCACAATGGGGATGAGGACCACATTGTCGAAATTTTTAAATACATGCAGGGCTCGTGCATTATGTGAGATGGACTATGAATGAGCTCTAATATGTGTTTGTTGGTTGCACGATCTATTTGTCGTATGAATATTTTTGAGATGGAATTTTGAGAATGATCTAACATACGATATTTGTTTTTCAATATAATTTGGATCAAGTCCATCATATGCTAGTGGAAAACATCGAAAAAAAGGGTCGTGGGTTGCCTTTGTAGGGGTGACCCTACCAGTAAGATTTTAAAGCGGATAGGAAGACATTGTTTGAACTTGGAATTATGACTTACAATTTCTTTCAACCTCCATAACAAATCATGGCAATTAGATATATAATGATCTTCTTCTATTGTGATCAAGTTTGGGACCTTAAGAGTGCAATAAAATGCAAATTCTGTGATTGAAACGGTAAGGTGATCCAACTATAAAGATCTCATTTTCAAGAATTTTTTAATCGAAATTATTTTCAAGCACGCTACAAAATCTTTCAGTGTGTTTTTAAATGTTTTTGAATTTCTTTTGTAACTATTTCTATGTAGTTTGGACTTGAATGTGTATGTAATTCTTTCTCTCTGTCTATGAATCCAGTTTAATAATAAAAGATTTTGCACTACTAGAACTTTTACTATCATTAAAGCACATGATACTATAAGCATTAAATTATTTTTAAAATTCACTTATTAATTTATTAGTAATTTTTTGAAGTTAGCAAACGATGCTCGTCCCATTGCAAATATCTTGCTACTGAGGCTAAGTCAAGATAATAATACGTAGGTGCCAAAATTCACCTCTTTCTACTCAAAAATGAGATTTGTTACTTGAAGAAATTACACCTAGACCTGGATTTAAAATATCATTTTCAAAAATCATGAATCAANAATAAGGAAATTACACCTAGGCCTGAATTTAAAATACCATATTCAAAAATCATGAATCAAGTTTCATTTTGGAAAAATCAGGTTTTAATTAATAATTTAAAATCTTTTTTTTCTTATTTTTATTTTATTTTATACTAATCAAACCCTAAAACTAATTCATTTGAAGAAAGCACTCTCTCACCATCTCTCCATTTTCTCCCCACACGGCGCCTCCACCGCCCCCACCGCCCGCCACATCCACCGTCCTTCTATCTTCTCTCTTTCCTCTCTGCGATGTCGCTTTCGGCTTGGTGAAGGTGAAGCAGTGGTGTCGCGCGCCCAAATCTGTTCTCTGTCTTCTCTCCCTCACTGTGTTGTTGGCGCTCAAATCTGTATTTTTTTTTTTTTTTAGTTTTCGTCTCTTTCCTCATTGCGATGTCGTTGCTGGCTTGGTGAAGGTGAAGCAGTGGTGTCGCGCGCCCAGATATGTTCTCTGTCTTCTCTCCCTCACTACGTTGTTGGCGC